ATGTTACAGCATCGCCTGCCGTGCACTGATGCAACCAGTACCAAACATGACTGCAAATGTGCCATTGCAACACACTTCACCAATAAATGAATTTGAAATACTTGAATGTCGTGCAAGAAATCAGCTGTCCTTTGTCGATTTAAACTCTCGCCGGACGTATCCGATATTCTAACTAAATGTGCAATGTGCATCTCGGGAACCAGGCATCTCGCGAAAAAGGAAGCATGTCAGCGGCCGGATGATAGACGATATAGGCAGCCGGCACACTAAACAAATAAACGACACTCGCAGAAAAAAATACTCGCAGTGATATAAGCAATAAGCATTGTGCGAGTGACCAGCAGCGTGCCCGATCGTGAATTTTACTCCGGTGTTTCACTTCTGTACGGTGTTCGGTAGCTAACTGGTGCCCGCCTGCTTCTGGCGGTTTGGGGGCTACTGAATTCGAGAGGTGTCGCCACAGTACTCGCTAGCCCTTCATATAGATGTCGGGAGGATCGTGCAAGGCACAAGGGTGGCCGGTCGTCAGCGAACAGCGCTGCTCTGTACTGTACCGACTTGATTTCATTCAGCCTTTAAACACCTCTGCTTTGGTTTTCAATTGTTTCCATGAAACCAATGCACGCCTCACTCAACAACGATTTTAGAAACCATTTTTCCATCATGAACTAAGCAGGCAAGGACAAGGAGGCTTGCGTGAAGACGTTTTAGTAGTTGACGTTTAACCCGCGCCGTGCTGGTGGCCTAAGTTTTCCGTGTCATGCTAGTGGGGGGGGGGGGGGCGTTTTCCGCCCCCCCCCCCGGCCCCGTCTAACTCAGCTTCTGGGCCACGTAGCGACAAGCGGTAAGCGGCAATCGAAAGAGTGCCAAAAGTAATGACGAAAAACATTTTTTGTCATTTTTTAGATCAGGTTAAAGGTCAGATTGCCAGAGGTCATCAAAGGTCAAATTTAGCCCATGATTTCAACAATTTTGGAAACTGCCAACGGCTAACTCGGGGACCAACAGAGCTACAGCGCCGCGGAAAAGCGCATTCGATAGCCCTTTTACAGACCTTTCTGGGTATTGTTCTCAGATTTGACCTCAGTTCAGATTCTACCTCAGGTCAACGGCGGAGCATCCATAGGGCAAAAACTCTAAAAATAGCCGTTTTCACGAAAAATGTTGTTAGGTAATAACTTTTGACTCAAAAGAGCCATGATATTAATTTTGACAACATCGTATTCCTCTCGTCGAAACGCGTCGAATGAACTATACCTACGTTGAGCTCCAAAGGTCATTTTGAAAATTTAGCCTCAGGTCAAAGTCATGACCTGATCGGAAAGGGTCATGTTGCATATCGCTCGCTCTGTATCGTCGAGCTGAACACATCTGACGTGTTTTCACCGCTCTAGCACGTCTCTATCAAAAGTGATAGTTAATATAAAAAAAAATGTTGGTGACGTTTCATCATATAGGCGGCGGAACGGGGAGGGCATCGAGGCACCGTGCCCCCCTTTGATTTTGGCATTTTAACATTAGCCCTATGGGCGTTGCATGGAAAAAAATGGGACCAAAAGTCGGCAGTGCCCCCCCCCCCTCCTTTAATTGAAGGTGTTCCACCGCTACTGGCTATAACCTGAGATGACCTCAGGTTCACACAAAGGGGTCAGAGGTGCATTTTTCCGATTCAGTGTAACATGTTCACCTATTGCACTGATGTTTGAGAGGGTTCAGAACGACATTCGTCCAAACGACGTGCATTTCGATTTTCTCCCATTGACTTATAATGGAGAGGTCGCAAAATTGACCTGACCTTAGGTCACAGATATAAAAAAACGAAATACCTACATGTTATTCATAGGTAATGTTATTCTTATCAATCGCCGAGAGTTTCAAAGTGGTCGTTGAGTCGGTGCAGCTATAGCAAGCCTTTGAACTTTTTCTGAGCTAAGGTCACTCGACGTGACGTGGTGACCGACCTGGGTCTGAAATTTTAACATGTGCGGAAAAGATGTATGAACAGATGTACCAAAATGGCGGCGCGCAGCACCGCTGTTCATGAGATATTCGCGAAAAACCTGAGGGTGGGGGGCGTAAAAACGCCCTCCATAGCTCAGCTCGGGTTAATGTGAATATTTTACGTTAATACTAACATATATTTACATACCTAACCATGCCAGGTGATCCAAGCATGGCATGCCCATTGGCATTGCCCAGGTTGTTGAGAAGCGTAAAAAAGTCCTTAGTCATGTACATCCCTACGATAAACGTCCCATGTGTAACTAGACTGACTCTTGGGCCACTTTTCGACAAAATATAACAGGTTTTCGAAAAACCGTTGAACATCATTATACGAAGGTATGCATTTAGGTGTGACTTTTCCGTGTTTTCAATTGAACTCAACGATAGATATAATGCGAGGTCAGTATGAGCAGGGAAAAAGTGCACCAAAATCAGTCTAGAAACTCAAACAGGCAAAGGTAAGTAGCAACTGCACTGACGCTTTGATAAGTGAGCGAATCGCGTAACAATTCGTGATCAGATATTTGAAAGTAACATAACTATACCTATTTACCTGCCTCATTGTTTGAACTAAGTGACGATAAAGCTGGTGAAGTGATTCGTCATGATATATGAAAGCGTTTGACACCTGAAGACAAAGTTGTCGGCGGTTATGTCGACTTTGGCATCTCCTACCCTCCTCCTCCCCTGCCGCTCATCCTCCTCATCCACGATCATCTCCCCTCAGCCGGCCGCCGTATTGGTCTCAGTCCAGACGGCACCTGTCGGCGACAATCCCGCCGTAGTGCGGCTCCGTCCAGATTGCGCCACTCACCGGCACATCCGCGCCGGCTCTGTCGGCCTTATTGCGCCGGCGGCGGCGCCTCTCCCGGGGCGATATTGTGCGGGCGCCGGCAGCGAGCTGTTCCGGCTGAGCGGCCGCCGGTGACCGAAATGAAACGGAGCCGCGCGGCCGGCGGCGGTGGCACAGAGACCGACACCGTCCCCCGGGAGACCGAGATCGGTCCGTCTGAGACCGACAGTGGTCCATCGGAGACCGAGATCGGTCCGTCGAAGACAGAGACTGGTCCATCGGAGACCGAGGCCGACCTGTCTCCGGAGACCGAGATCGGTCCGTCTGAGACAGACTGGTCCATCAGAAACGAAGACTGAGACCGCGGTCCGTCGGAGAACTTGATCTTCAGAGATCAATGCTGGGCCCGGTAACCGAGACTGATCGGACTCCAGAGACACGGCTACAGGTGACTGGCTGTACATACGTCATTGCACATTACAATAAATACAGAACGAAGTAACAAAAATAAGGAACTATCTGAATGGAGAATCTCGATATAGGCAAATGAGAGACAAAGCAAACTTCTGGGCTTCTGGCATTCTCACTTGCGTATCATTTTTCCCCAAGGCTTCATGATCGGGCAGAGAAAGGCGCTCGTTCGAAGTGGACAATGAGTTCTAGCCATCGAAAGGGAGAAAAAAAACGCAAGTCGGTAAAGCAAGAGTACCAGCACTTGGAGTCGTTATGTGGGACGTTCATTTTTCATACCTATACCTTAGAATTATTATCGACACTTTTGTACTGCAGTTAGCGATGTTATTACGGAATTTTCGTCTCATCACGTAGTTTTCGTTAGACGCCGTAAGGCCTCGGGCCTGAAAATCAAAATATAATATAGTGGTATCTATATAAACATGTCGTGTAATTGATACTCACAATTGTAAGAAGCATATGCATTTCTATTTCAAGCATTTAGGTACCTATATATATATATATCGAATAACTAAACAAAAAATGCTAATTGAACATTGCATAAAATGTAATAAAAGGGATTGTAAAATGGAATAATCGGAAAAATATCACCTATAGCCTATTATAGGTATGTAGCTCTTAGTCAACTTTTATGGAAAGGACTGATGAAAATTTAACTTAGCTTCGACGTCATTGTCAAATGTTTATGCTTATGCAGAGAGATAAAATCGATATCTTTCAAAAGCAATAAACCAAAATGACCGAAAAAGATCGCTATTGAAATAGACACGTTACAATCGTCAATATAGAAAGGACGCAAAATTACGGCGATTCTATTATTGAGTCTGACGTTAAATTTTCCTAGAGGTTGCTGTTTTGTTTGGTTTGTTCATGCATAGGTAGGTACTAATTTGACATGTCATTTTTTAATACCTAATTTTGACTAGCGTATCAAGAAAATGTCCCAATGTCTCTCTTAGATCCAACACCGACTATGCTCATCAACGGCATTCATCGGCACAGGCGCAGCTCAAGCTACAAAACAAACGACACACCGTCCAGTGTTCAATTACCGCCTACATCAACAAATAATACTGCGCTCAGGTAGGCATGGGTCCACCCCATGTAGTAAAACAATGTCCAAACTACCAGAAATGTCCCAACATGGAGTGACATGTAGGTACTAAAAACCGTCCTAACTCCCAGAATTGTAACACTTATTCAGCGCCTCACTAAGACGACTGCGGGCCCGCTTTGTTTTTGCCTGTTTTCGCCGCAGAAAACCAATGTTTCTCGTGGAGCCATACACAGAAGGCCGCTGCGCATGCAAATGCAGGCAATGCTTTGTTGGAAGCGCACAATCGGGGGGAAGTGCTCCGCTTTCAGCTGGCCAAAAGATTTCTTTGTGCGCCACCCAGGGTTAATCGGAAAAGTTAGTGTCTCTGAAACCACATCAACACGTCTGTGTGTGGTCTACAGAATTTAAAGGATGTCTCTGAATAAGCTGGGGCATGACGATGACCTAGTGGCCCATTGCATAGCTTGATGAGGAAGCGTATTGATTGTTTTGGCGCCAAGCAGCTAAATATAACTCCAGTAAAGAGTATTAAAAGAATAGTTGGTGCAAGGTACCTTTAATGCGGTATCTATCATTGCACCGAAATGCACTGACAGTGTAATGCGTACACCATTCATGTGGGCACCGTTCCACACATACACGTCATCTCCAGAACGCCGGATCGAAACTCTCCCTGTTTGGCAGCAGCTCTGCCACTGCCGTGTATTCGGCTCAGTTCACATCGGCCCGTGAGTCTGCCGTGACTGCCGGCTCAGTCACAGTCACAGTCAGTCACGGCAGCAGTCACAGTCGCAGTCACAGAGGCGACACACAGTCGGCGCCGCGTATGAAGAGCCTGTCGACAGGTTCAGCACAGACACGATCATATGGAGACATGGCGGCGCACAGCGGCGAATGACACGAGCGAACAAAGGGCATCGGGGTCGTTATGGCACGGAACATGAACTGGGTACAACACTGGACGAACGACAACCTCTCCATACCGGCGTTTCGGCTGCTCCGAGCGATCGTCCACACCGAAGCAGCTGAATTCGTCGCCCCAATGCCCGTACAAACACACAGCGCGGACTCAGGTCAGGTCAGGTCAGGTCAGATGAGCGGCAGATGAGACAGATCTGTGGTGAAGTGATGACTGGGACGATGGGTGGTCCCAGAGGCTGGACAGTGGGCATAGGGACGGAGCCGCCGACATCGCCTGGTCGGCGGACCGGCGGTGGCAGGTGACTGGCTGGGCCCTCATTGGAGGTCACCCCAGATCAGTAGACGGCGAAGAAAGCCACTATGGACGGGCTCAACACAGGGGCAGTCGGCACACGCAACGATTGGCGAAAAAAGAGCGACACGATGAGAATTCAACCCGCTTCAGGTAAACAAAAGACGGACTCAAGTCAACTAGCAATGCGCGGTATGTTTTCATGTCGAAAACACATTAATGCCCCCCTCTCTTTTCTCTTTCACTCCCTTCTTCCAACCCTCTCTCTCTCTCTCTCTCTCTCTCTCTCTCTCTCTCTCTCTCTCTCTCTCTCTCTCGCTCTCTCCTTCTCCTTTTTCGATCCACAAATAACAAAAACACCGATTGTACATAAAGAATCGCAATGTCATCCAAAATCTGGATCCAGATCCTTGATACTGCACTTGTTGGAAATTTCTACACACCAGACACCGACCCATTTGGCTGGGGGCATCACAGGACGGTCCAGGCGTTCACTGCAGCACGGAGGTCGCAGCTGCTCGCTGTTTGTTCATGTACCGCCGCCATAGCAGGCACGTCAATCTGCTACGGTCTCTTGTGCCCAGTCTAGCACAGTGAGATCACAAATTACGGCGCACGTCCCTATAGTCCCACCGCGTCCTACCACGTCCCACCAAGTCCAAGCACGTCCCGATCGCGCCCATAGACGGCGCCGATCCCATACGACCGCCGGCACTTGGCAGGTCGACTGCGGGTCCCGCTAGATCATCAGTTCCTGTCGCGGCGGCGGCGGCAGCGCAGCCACCTCTGCCGTCCGCCGCGCGCAGCTGGTCTGCGGCTGAGGGGGCGCGGAGGAGGGCGCGGACGGTGCCGGCTCGTCGGCGGCGCGGCCCGCCGGCAGCAGCGGTGGTCAGATGGCCGTCACCCGCTCCACGTACGGCGAGCGGCGGCCGTCGACGTCCGCGCCCGGCACCGGCGACAGACGCGTGTCCGAGGAGAAGGACTTGCTGCCGCAGGCGCGACTCGGCCGCAGCCGCGCCTGGCAGAACCGCACGCACGAACGGCGCACCTTGGCCAGGATGCGCGCGAACGCCTCGCGGAACTCGACGTTGAAGATGGAGTAGATGATGGGGTTGAAGCTGCTGTTGCTGTAGCCGAACCAGGTCAGCGTCTGGAAGACGAGTCGCGGTACGCACGTCTTGCAGAAGGCGGCCAGGATGTTGACGCAGAAGAAGGGCACGTAGCAGACGAGGAACACGCCCACGATGAAGCCGACCGTGGTGGCCGCCTTGCTCTCGGAGACGTGGCACCGGTTACAGGCCGGCGGCGGCGCCACGCCGTCTATCGTGCCGAACATCACCGGCTTGGTGAGCGCCTTGATGCTCTCTACGTGTCGCTTGGCGTACAGGTACAGCTGGCTGTAGATGGCCAACATCACCATACACGGCATGTAGAAGCTGATACAGCTGCTGACGACCGCGTACAGCGGCGTCAGGTCCAGCGCGCACTGCGGCAGGCCGCGCTCGTCCACCGGCTCGGCGCTGCGCCCCGGCGGCCGGTGCAGGTCCAGGGAGATGGGCAGGAACGAGACCAGTGCCGCCATCAGCCAGATGCCCACGATACTCAGCGTGACCACACGTTTGGTCATCCACCGGCCGTAGCGCAGCGGGTCCTTGATGTGGATGTAGCGGTCCAGCGAGATGGCGCACAGGTTCAGGATGCTGGCCGTGCTGCACATGACGTCGAACGCAATCCAGGTGTCGCAGTACTGCGGCCCGAACGGCCAGTACTCCAGCAGGTCGTTGGTGAGCGCGAACGTCATCACCAGGCAGGCCAGCGTCATGTCGGCGAAGCTCAGCGACACGATGTAGAGGTTGCCGATCTTGCGCAGGTTGCGGTCGGTCAGCACCGCCACACAGACGAGGATGTTGCCCGACACGGCCAGGATGATGATGGCCGAGAGGAAGGTGCCGATGAACACCTGGGCGCCCAGACTCAGCGAGGCCACGTCCTCCAGAGGCGGCTCCAGCGCCGGTGCGGAGAGCGAGTCGTTGGCGGCGGTGGCCATGATGCAGGGACGGGACTGACTGGCTGGCCGACCTCACATCGACGGACGACTCTGTGACGCAGAGAAGCCACAGATCAGCTAGGGTCAGCAGGTCAGGTCACACGTGGAGAGTATATATATACGGCGGCATAGACTACTGTATTACTCATTTACTGATATGCAGTAGTCTATGATGCCAGCAATACCCCATTGCTATCAGGTCCAATGTATTTCTTTAGTGTTGTTTCGAAAACGCTTTTCTCGGTAGATCCGAAAACAGAGGCACAAGGCAAACGGTTTCATTGATATTCTGGCCAGGTCGGCTGGTTGCGAACGCCCGTCTGCTGCCGTCAATTTATTGCAAACAAACGAAATATTTAATGATGTTTCGGGCTTTCCAACTTTAATGGAACGAGAGGAGGCACCGAACGGGAACCAGCACAGAATTTATGTTCTTTAAGTGGCTGATTCGATCAGCGGGTGACAATTCCGAGCTGTGTCACGGAAGCCGTGCTCGGGATCCGAACAGAGCTCTGTTTGACATAAACCGTATTTTAGTCGGGCTGCCACACGCTTAAACATAGGATCCACTTCTGTTTTAACTTCTGTCTGCATATACTCACCAATCATATACCGTTCGCGAACATGTCTACACTCGATATGTAGTTATGAATTGGGGTACTTTCTTTTCCTACGCCTAACCCTCCACCTGGCTGAACTTTTTCGGCCGGATTTTAGTTAGACGGGAAGCTGCCACAGCTGAACTATCACTCAGCTGTGCTCTTTATGGCTATTTTATAGTTCTGCATGAGTGACGCTCTAAGTTACAGTTCAAACAGTTCAAACTGTTACAGTTCAAACACGTAAATCACGCAGTAGACGTCAGAGGCCGCCTGGTGACGTCATCTGTGATGTCATAACGTAGCTCCGGCCTGTGCTCAGCGCCGCTGACCTATGCGCTTGGACGATGGTGTGAGCCATCTCTTCCAGCACCGGTATAGGTAGAGTTCAGTCGTCTGTCAACGGAGCCAAAAGAGTGTCAGCCACCTGGCTAAGGAAAGAGAGAGGGAGAGATCGAGGGGGCGAACCAAGAGCATTAGCTGTTATCCAATTCGTATTACTACCGTCATTTAACAAACTGAAATTGAGCAGCCGCATAGTGACACTTCCAATCAAAGTAGCTGCTAGTATGCTGTAATGTTTCAGAAAAAATGCAAGGGATCATACGACTCACTTAAGAAGTGAGCATGTTCGGGAAGTGAGCGTATTCTTGATCTAAATCAAAAACACTTCTAGGAAGAGTTCGTAAGCCGTAACACCTCTGTGATGGAAAGCCTGACGTAATCTGTTTCTCAAAGTGAAACATTTCTCGAGTTATGGAACCAATTAGTGGGTATTCTGAAAGACATCAAGCTCTTTAATCGATGAAGGCAGGTATGTATTACAACTTAACATAGGTTCAGTCGAATGTTGACTCGCTCATCTCCCAGTTTCCCGCCTTTTCACACGGCCTCAGAAATACCCGTACTTGTGGACGCAGCGGAGAATATATGCCCCTGGTGCTATTTCCATGATGGAACTGTGGTGCCCCCGCCAATATAACCAGCAGGGCTGGAGGAATATGTTCAGCTGTTCCGTTGTTACAGTATAGAGAATAGAGAAAGTCTGGTCTGTGTGGAGATGATCCGGAGGGTCTAGAGCTGCGGTGTGCTGCTGTCGCTTTGGCTGTGTGATCTGTGTGGCCAGTGATAGATGTGGGGCTGCCCTGCGTTACTGTCAGCTGGCCGTGTACTCTGTGTGGGCTATAGGACAGGAAGGTATAGTAGGCGTGAGGCTGCGGTGCGCTGTTGTCGCGTGCCGGGTTCAGTCGCACTGTAAGGATTCCGCCGGCGCTGGCGGAAACAGCGTCACAGACAGACACACGCGTCTGTCACAGTGACCGGCGAAAAAAAGCATCGGGTTTCGCCGAAAATATCCTCCGAGTACCGTAGAATAATGTACTAATGCTTACGTAACAGTGCATATCAAATCATTCACTTCCGTTGCCTTCTTGATAACTTATTTCTGAAAGGATATTGTCAAGGATTAGCGTTCTGAAAAGACAGCCAAAGCTCCCAATTAGGCACACTTTGGACAAGGTCTCCAGTTAAAGATACCAATTAAATTCCCTTGATTATTTCAAATCTGTATGCTGTTGATACATGTTGACGTATACGCTAAATAAGTAGCCAATATCAGTCATCAGTCATTGTTGAAATTGTTCAACAGAGCTCATGTAACACAAATACATACATTTGATGAATGTCTACCTTTTGACCTTCACCCACCCGGTAAGTCACTCTGAACGCCCAATGGGGGCGGTTACCACAGATGGTGGCCCTGGGAGCGGCCATTTGCATATTGCATATGTGTCCGCTCGTCGTTCACAGTTCGCCTACGGAGATGAGATGACGAAGTAATGAAACGGAAAGTGTGTTGACAAACTGTGCCGACATCAGAGCCAGGCCTGATCAGCGCGCTACTCGGAGGCGCGGCCGTGATGAGGTGGTGAATTTCAAACGACCCTCCCCCTCCCCTCCCCGCTCAGTAACACCCCCTATGCTCTGTCCAGGGAGGTACTCTTACTCAGGCGTGACAGATTGACACGACGTCCACAAAACAGGCGAGTTGGGTACACAGGCGCATTTTCGACACATCACTACGCACAACACCGACAGGAAACGCTGAGCGCATGCGTTGTCCAATCCCGCGAGAGTCAGGCTATGCATTGATTAAAAGCTAACTATGCGGCTGGGGATATTTTTTGCGAGTAAGGTCTTACATGGTTATTTATTTGCTACGCACTGTAAATGTGTATCTTTTTACCAGTCTGGCCATGGTGACCATACTTATTTAATCCGTATGTATATTGCATATGTCTATGTCTATGTTATTATCTGTAAGAAGCCAAACCTGCAACGATTTAGTACATGCAGAGTTAGCTTCCCCAGACGGCAAAGCAGTGGTCCAAGAAATTCAAATTTCCTTTCTGAGGAAGCTCACAAGCCGATCTAATTTTGTAGGCAGCCCAGCTCACTTTGCCATGCAACTGAACAGGCAGGCAAACACAGCCGCGAGCTCATATATCGGTAATATTATGAAAGAAACACCAGGGTCCATTCGCGAGCGGAGCCTTCAAAACATACACATGAAAATAACAGGGTCTGAATCTTCCAGGAGAAAAACATACATCGATTTTAATGCTGATTTTACGGTTCACCCGATATATACTAACAATGTTTCAGAACGGGCTCGTACAGCACTTACACGACTAAGGCTATGCTCACACCGCCTTAGAATAGAGACAGGGAGGTGGGCTAGAATCCCAACAGAAGAGAGGCTATGCTCCTGTCGGCTCGGTGTGCAAACAGAGGCGCATGTACTTTTAGACTGCCCAATCACTGAGCCACTTAGGAGAAATTTTACAATGCTGAGCTTTGATAGTTTGGCAAGCTTGATGAAAAGTAGTCCAAAGGATTTGGCCATATACTCTCAGAGAGTTTTGCTGGCATGTGAGAACGTATGACGCGACGGATTTTAACGTGGTGTTTAGGTATAGTTTTAATGGACGCTGGTTCTCTGTATGAAATGTTTGACGGTTTTAATATGTTTTGTATATGATCTGTTTTGATGGACACTTGTCTTCTGGGTTTTATCCATCTAGTACCTAAGACTGTGTCAATAAACTACTACTACTACTATATCTATGTTAGTAATAATGCATGGTATACTCATTAGTCCACAGTCAAGTTAATACATCCGGCTAAAGCATTTCTGTTGTTTTCAGTGATAAAGGTATCCTCCTATTCGGTCCAATAAGTTTATCGCATTATTTCGCCAATGGATGCTATACCTACAACACTTAAACCCAATGCTACCTTTAAACTTCCCCAGTCATCATCAGAGTAGGTACCATAATATTGTAGGAATGATATACGAGTATAGGTATGGCTTCCAGAACAAAGACAAAAAATGATGACGTCATCTCAGTTACAATAGCTTTGTGAGCATGGGCTAGAGGCACGCTGCACAATGCACACCGACGTACACACAGACACTTACACATGGGTACTACTAACTACATCTACCGCCCGTATACGCGCAATAGGCCGACTTACAGCTACTGGCTACATGATACCTGATACGAACTGAGAACAGCATCTGACCAAGTGTAGACCGGACCAATTCGGCAAAATCATTATGGAAATAATGGCTTTCGGAGCGCGGTAGCTCCGCTATGAGGAACATGAGCCATTGGTGTCATACAATGTTGGAAGGTACGCTATTCACATGAACTCACACAACTGAAATGCAGGTAGGTATGTGCATGCGGCGTTGTGCAGTGAAGGCTAAACACATTAATTAGTTCAATTGCATAAGCAAAACAAGTAATACATGATATGCCGTAAAACCAACGCAGAAAACCACGCAGAAAGTGCATTCGCAAGTCGCAACGCATTGTCTTCTCTCGAGTCAGGCGGTGCAGTATACATTCAGGCGCGGAATACTACTGCCCTCTAGGGAGAAAATGTGAACTATTCCATGGTTACCGAGTAAGGCGGTGCAGCATACCTTCAGGCGTAGTACAACGCTGCCATCTAGGGAGAAGACTATGAACCACCGCTGCCAGGCGTTGCAGCATACCTTCAGGCGTGGTACACTACTGTCCTCTAGGGAGAGAACTTGGTACCACTCCTGGCTCTCGAGTCTAGCGGTGCAGCATACTTTCAGGCGCAGTAGTATATTGCGTTCTAGGGAGAGAGCTTTGAACCAACGCTGTTTGTGAGGCAATAATTTACGTCACCCGTTTCCTCAGTTATAAAAACGGCCAGCTTGCGTCACGTGCTGCTCATATCGCCAGCAGTCTACTTCACGGAATATGCACCAGTATGTATATTTTTGTGCTTATTAATGTGGCGGAGGCGACCAAAGCGTAGGATGCCAGCGTTTATTAGGCGGCGGCACATCTTTAGCTCGGGCATGGGAAGGAAAGAACGGAAGCCCACTTTGGGACGCGTTGGTGATGTGATTCATGATTTAAGATTTCAATTAGGCTACCCCACACTAAGCGAAAAAAGGCCCAAAGGCCCTACTAAATCAGACCCTGAAGCTTTAGGCCCAGGTCACATGGCTGCGGCTAATGCTGCTGATTGAGTCGCTCGACAGCCACCTGAATAATGTTCATTTTTAATTCTTCTTAGATGTTAAATAGGTGGCTTCAGCGTTTTGAAACAGATATAAATCGCTTGTGACTTGGCAAATGTTGGATACGCTCATAAAATGATAAACCTAACACATATATCCTTTTGACATTTACAAAGGCTCCCCTGAAATATTATGTTTCCCTAGCTAGCATATGTCATTTAACGACACCTCATTAACCCGCGCCGTGCTGGGGGGGGGGGCGTTTTTACGCCCCCCCCCTCAGGTTTTTCGCGAATATCTCAAAAACGGCGGCGCGCAGCGCCGCCGTTTTTGGTACACGTGTTCCTACATCATTTCCGCACATGTTGTGAAAATTTCAGACCTAGGCCGTTCAAGGTCAGGTCACCAGGTCACGTCAAGTGACCTTACCTCAGAAAAAGTTCAAAGGCTCGCTATAGCTACACCGACTGAACGATCACTTTGAAACTTTCAGCGATTGATATGAGTAACAGTATGTATAAAATGTATATCTCGGATTTTTGATATATGTGACCTAAGGTCAGGTCAATTTTGCGACATCTCCATTATAAGTCAATGGGAGAAAATTGAAATGCGCCTCTTTTGGACGAATATCGTTCAAAACGCTCTCAAACATCGGTTCATAGGTAAACATGACACACTGAATAGGAAAAATGCACCAGTGACCCCTCTGTGTGCCCCTGAGGTCATCTCAGGTCATGATTGGTCGCCAGCAGTTTTTTGGCTATAACTTTTGATAGAGACGTGCTAGAGCGGTGAAAACACGTCAGATGTGTTCAGCTCGACGATACGGATCGACTGATATGCAACATGACCCTTTTCGGTCAGGTCATGACCTTGACCTGAGGTCAAATTTTCAAAATGACCTTTCAAGGTCAACGAATAGTTCATTCGACGCGTCTCGACGAGAGGAACACGATGCTGGCAAAAGTAATGTAATGGCGCTTATGAGTCAAAAGTTATTGACGAAAAAACGTTTTTCGTAAAAACGGCTATTTTTGGAGTTTTTGCCCTCTGGAGGCTAAACCGTTGACCTGAGGTCAAATCTGAGAACATTACTCAGAAAGGTCTGTAAAAGGGCTATCGAATGCGCTTTTCCGCGGCGCTGTAGCTCTATCGGTTCCCGAGATAGCCGTTGGCAGTTTCCAAAATGTTGAAATAGTCAACATTTTACCTTTGGTGACCTCTGGTGACCTGACCTTTGACCTGACCCAAAAAATGACCGAAGTGTTTTCGTCCTTATTTTTGACGCTCTTTCGATTGCCGCTTACCGCGTGTCGCTACGTGGCCCAGGAGCCGAGTTAGACGGGGGGGCGTGAAAACGCCCCCCCCCCCCAGCACTCGGCGGAAAGTTCAGGCCACCAGCACGGCGCGGGTTAAGTGCCTGTGCTCCCTGACGTGACCAATTTACTGGTCACCCGTAACTGACCTCTCTTCAGTACAAGACAGCGTGATCATATGACGCTCAGCGGCGGGTGAGCCGTTGGGTACCGCCGCTCGTTCGGCACACAAGTAGACCGCCGCATAGTTCCCACCGTGGCGGGAGGACTCTGCGTGGTGACGGGAGGACTCCGAACGAAGGAAGGACTCCGTACTGCGGAAGGACTCCGTGCGACAGAAGGTCTCCGTACAATGACGAGTGATTTTGCTTTCTGCACCTGTGAGAAGCTGTGCATTTCTCGGTTAAGGTCCAGCACTTAGCGTCGTTCTAATTGGAAGTTCACACCCTCGTAAAACGTTGTCCGTTGCGTTATCAAGAGCCACATTGAGTCGTGCACCCGTGTGAAGATCGGTGCGACACGACCACCCTGACTAAGCTGTCATCTGTGGCATTCCAGCCATCTCAGCGGGGCCGGGCTCCGCGTACGGACCGATATCATCCATAACTGACCACCGATTGGTATGGTAATCGAGCGGCGGTCACGCCGCGAGCAGATCGACCGGCTAATGGGAATGTAACACCACCGAGCGAGTAGGGAGGTGACGGCGCGGGTATATCTTCCGGGCTCGGCCGATTGCTGGTGTGCCGTATGTGAGAAGAGTACCGAGCTATGGGGTGGACTGAGAGCGCGCTGTGAATAGCGGTACACGTGAACACGAGCTTGCTTTGTGTCCGGAGTTTAGGGGCCCTGAATTAGTTGTTTGCCGCTGGTGGAAGGCGGTGGAATGAGGCAGGAGAATGATGGCCGCTGGCTGGGGGAAGCGGAGGAAAAAAACGAACTGGAAGAGGAGGCGGCGCGGCGGTGGGGGCAGGGGTGAGGAGGGCGGCGTATGGCCGGCTCATTAAGGCCGAGCCGTCAGTGCCGAGCTGCACCGGCCGCTGAAGGCGCTGTGTCGGATGATGAACGGAGCGCGCCCGCCACTGTCCGGCTTCCCGGCGCCGCATTAGCAGCGGCCGGCGCGGCGGCGGGGAGGGGACGGGGAAGGGCCGGGGGACGGGGACGGGGTCAGCGGTCCCCGGGGACGGCCGGCCGGCCGGCAGGGCAGCACGGACGGCCATCCCGGCTGACAGATGGACTCACGATGTGCAATGGGAGGAGGGCGCTCTACACGACTAACGAATGAATGGCTCGACGCGTAATGCACTTGTGCCGTCGACAGAGGCGACAGAGGAACTCCATTCGGCCGAGGGCCCAACTGAGCGATGCTTGCCGGTTTTGGGAGCTTAGCTCAACGTAACTTGGGTAACGCAATAATATATCACTCTATTGGGGCAGACGGGAAGTTCAACAGGACAGCAGAGTTATGCAATATGCATACCTATGTGGACTGCCGACGAGGACTGGATTACTTCTCTCTTTTTTTTCGTTAAGGACTATGTCGAAGTTTGTAATGGCCTGAAATAAAACACTGAGTTTGCATTTAGATACAGATTAGCAGACGTGCTGTGCAAAAGCGGTGACATTCTCTGGAATTCTAAGAATTCTATTTGCACTATTAATGCCCAATGTCTAGTAATGCGTTTGGGCTCACCAAATCTGGGCTTTTGGGGGTCGCAGAGCGATCGATATAAAATCGATAGACTGCTACTTTTTACATAACTTTAAAACCTTTGCGGTCGATGTCGCACAGGCAGATGCAGCAGAATTGATGTGACTGAGGCTTTGCTTGAAACATGAGCGTTCGTGATGCGTGTACGTCCTCAGCGTTTTCATCGGTTTCAATGCTGCACTACCTGTGCCAGGCTTGAAAAGAAATTACTCTAAGTGCCAAGTGGTAAAGCCAGTCCGATGAAGTATGTAAGCGCCCTGTACCCGGCGTTCCACACTGCCCGCCGGCGGCGCAGCCACAGGTCGTATACCGTCGCTGCCGGCACCAGTCCGGCGCCGATCGGCCACCGATGCGTCGATCGGCCGACGGCGCTTACTTATGCAAACAAGCGGACGGCGGAGCTTTTTAGTAAGACAGAGCGGCAGGTGCATTATCTTGAGCATGTTTTCGCGCAGGTTCGCACCAGCCCAGATAAGGCGCGCTCGCTGGAGGCAGGTGGAACACGGTGCCAACGCCCTGGTGGTTTGAAAGCTTAAGGCACTGGCCAGAAATACCCGAGCGGACAGCGACAGGACAGCTGCTCCAGCGTCACACAGAACGGGCAGCGATTATCCACGAAATGTGGGCCGGCAGCATAGCAACCAGGCCAAACACCCGACCGCCAAAACAGTTCGATAAGGGCTTTACCGCATCCGTGAATACACCGGCTGCCGGTAAAACGGCATTTGAAAAATGAAGCGTCATTTTTGCCACCGACATGTTGGGCTTATCGACCCTTGTGAGCATTTATCAAAAGCCTCTGAAAGGCTGTTGGGTGAATAGTCAGCAACCAACGTCTGATGTATCACTACAACTGTATCATTTGAATGGAACGTGATTTTCAACGGATCACGACGCACAGCACTGACGCAAACTACCCATAGGAACAGTCGGAATGCAGATAATTCCTGTGCCACCTGCAAGTGCCACTATCGCTAAGAATCTGAAAACTTTAATGGTATCCTTAGGAGTCTCCGTTTGATGGTTTGCAAAACATACATGCACCCACAAATTCGTCTCCAGTATCTATTAGCTGCACATGCATTATTCTTGTTTTCTGCATATATTTCGCCACGCCGACACATCTGAACAGATATGAGGTACGCTTTGAACGCAAGCTATCTGACTCTTGAATCTGTTGGCAGTTGGCATATGGGAGCGCTTCCTTTATGACGTAATTATCTGGGTACCTCAGTGCCTTTGATCCCACTATCCAACGCGTCCTTGTGGATCGAGTCTGTTGGTCCTTCCATGTGCGAGAAACACACCGTCCAGTAGACAATGTTGAACAAAATAAACACGATCGGGTAAACGTACAGCGCGCCTCGCTGCATCTTGTGACAGAACCGCAGGATCTTGCCCATGAGATCATCCTCGTCCTCAGCCGAGTGCTGAGGCTCACCGTCCCCGGGCGCCCTGGCTTTGGCTCCGATGGCGTACTTGCGGAAGATCTCGACTACCGTCTGCCGGCGGGCCTGGCCGGTGAGGACAAACGTGGGCGCCGCCCTCTTCCTCATGTTGCCCATGATCATGCTCTCCATGCGAACGTCCACTAGACAGTTGACGACGGCGAAGAAGGAGAGGAAGGTGCAGACGCACATCCAGACGTCGATGGCCTTGACGTAGCTGGCCTTGGGGACGTACTCGCTGCCGGCGGCGAACAGCGACACCATGGTGAGCATGGTGGTGATGGTGAGCAGCATGCGGCCCTGCGCCATCTCGGCCGGGATCAGGAACGACACCCATGACACCACCACGAACAGGATGGACGGGATGTAGATCTGCATCATGTAGAACATAATCTGCCGCTTCAGGATGACGTACATGTGCACCTGCGCGCGCTCCAGCGGACTCTTGCTGCCCGAGTGGAAGGTTCTGCTGTGCGCTCTCGCGGAGGCACGGTGAATTTCGTAAGAGAACTGGGATAGTGTCGATGTGGAGTAAGACAATGGATTATTGTCTGCCCACGTTAGATTTAGTTCGCACGGGTTTCTTCCAAAACTTTGCAAGGCAACATCACAAATTTGCACATCCATCGGGAACAAGGCATAATTGAATGGACATGACAACTTCAGAAGAAGGTACTGATTCGCAAACAGTGTATAGTTTCTGTACATTCTGAAACTTGTTGATGGCACAAATATCACGGGACTTATAACGCTTGCTGCATTGGGAATGTACAAGTCTGGAAGCCACAAAGAATCCTTTACGGTTGGAGCAATTTCTATGAATTCTCCGCGCATATTTTGCTCCGGCGGTGCGAGGCGGTAGTCTTCCCAGGAGTAGCGTAAATATGCAGACATTGTCACAGCGCCATTCGTTACCAAGCTTATTTCAGAAACGTGAACAGATAACTGAACCTTAGTCGGTGGCGGCAGTCCCTCCTTGCAGTTGAATATCTTTGGCACTTTAGGAGCACGCAGGTGAATTCTGGCGTCGTGCAACGTTGGTCTTCGCCGCTTCATATAATCTCTCGGCGTTAGAATAAGGCCATCAAATTTTGCCTTTGAATCATCGTCTTGAAAAATTGATCGACCTTGAAGAAATCCGTATGCAGCCGAGCTGTTCATTAGAGAAATACCCTGTACAATATTCCCTGATAGAGCAATGATCAGCATAACAATGAAGCACCTCATCTTTGACTGCTTGCCTTCTCTGGATTATATGAGATAACGGATCATAGTTATATCCAAACGATTTCTCTAAGTGACATTTACAAAAGAATAACCTCTATAGATATTAACGGTTTTGTACCATGATACAAGCAGGCAAATATTTAAAGGAACAAAATATGTGTAATGATGAAAGCATACTTTGCAACTCAAAGTGAGTGAATTCAACAGCGACTTTTCAATTCAGATGTGAAACACGTGGTTTGGTGAGGCACTTACAGCAGCGGTAGCTGAACAGTTGGCTGCGATTTTGATGAAACAGGGAAAAGCATGTTTCCAATGTTCTTGCATGTCTTTAGCTCAGCATCTCCATCATTTCTATCGGTTGTTACTATATGCTAATCGACACGGTCAACAAATGAACCGTGTTGGGTGCTCTTTGAAAGTTATGCAAAAAGTTACCGACCAGTTCAAAACCGAACACGTTTGCTGACTACACATGCATTGCTGTTCACAAACTAGTCAGGTGTGCAATATAAGCCCCTTCCTGGTGCTCTTCTTTCGGCTGGGTACCTGCTCCAAAGCCGCACACGGGAGTTACCTTGCAGCCTAGCACCATGAGTCGCGGGAGAAGTAAGTCCAGCCACATTAATAGCTTTTCTGCCAATAATCGTAAGCAGATTACCTGTATCGTGTGCGAACGGATGAGACAATCAAGCATATTCTCCCCCCCCCCCCCCCGTGAGGAGTTGTACGTGATTTGCTAGAGGGTATTGATTCTAGGGTATATTTACTTGTATCAATAATGGATATGCGTGTGAATGAGTGCTCCCCCTCTTCCTCTCCTTCTCTCTCTCTCTCTCTCTCTCTCTCTCTCTCTCTCTCTCTCTCTCTCTCTCTCTCTCTCTCTCTCTCTCTCTCTCTCTCTCTCTCTCTCTCTCTCTCTCTCTCTCTCTCTCTCTCTCTCTCTCTCTCTCTCTCTCTCTCTCTCAAAACACAAACGCGTATACATATTACTCTATCTCTGCTCCCCGATGTCTGCCCTGTCGCCGTCTGAGTTGTTTTCTCTGTCTTTTTCTGCGTCCCAGCAGGGTGTCATTTCCGGCTGTCCAGAGACAGCTGACACGTCACCACGCCCCCGGGCCAGTCGAGGACATCGCTGCTGACCTGTCACTTCAGAGCGGAGCCGGTCGGAGAGGCACAGCGCCGCCCACAGTCGCCGCGGGCTGTTCAGACGGCGCACCCGTCCCCCGGCCCACTGAGCCCGGCCAACAAACACATGGATTTGAGCGCGCTGGAGCCGCGTCGTCTCACGGCCAAAGTCGCCGAGGTGACAGTCGGGGAGTCGCATAGTCCTATAGGTGCAGTGAACGAGGGTGAAACAAGCTGAAATCTGTCTATGTAGTTTTACGCAATAGCCAATATCATGCCTATTTGACGTGACGAGAATTGGAGGATAGCATTCATGAAAAACTTACATCAACATTTTCATGATTGATATCATGATTGATGATTAATATCATTCAATTGATGATGACACCTTTTCAATTGAAACCAATGAACCTGGGACACCGACTATTGTCGCGCAGATTGCCTCGAGCAGCTCACGTTAAAAAAAAAAACTATGAGCCGCTTAGAATTATCGTTCAACGCCTTGCTATTTTCAATAGGTAACGTATGGCTCTGCAAACATGGTTTTGCTACATTCGATACGTTTTTTTTTGTTGTCGTAAGAATTGCGATCCTGGTTAATTTTTCTCGTAACTTTCTGATGAAAAAGCTATTGTAAAAAGCGCCAGTAAAAATATAATTTATTGTTTTCATGAAATGGGAAGAACAAAGGTTTTGCCAGAGGTCAACTATGTTGACATACTTAGTGCGAAAGTCGTTTATGTGCTACCGACTACGTACTTTTGGAGCCCTTCTAGCTCATTTTGCTGAGGAGCCTTAATCTATGTGAAATAGCAATGTTTGAACCTTCTCCGCGATCTGTGGTGGTGTTTGAAGCTTAGGTATCGGTAACATGGCCGAAGCAATATTAATCGGCTCTCTTGTGACTTACCAATGCGTTTGCTATACTTACCAATGCGTTTGCTATTTGCTTCTCGCAAGACTGCTATTTTCGATACCCCTGGTAACCTGTCGCCAACAAACTCCCGTTGCGACCGCCATGCGGGTTAGTTGATTAACACCTAATCATGCGCTATATCTTTCTCTGTCACACCGTTTATGTTCATCAGTCCTTAAAGGTAGTGTGCCACCTTCGAATGATTTCCAATTTTATTTTTCCTAGGATAAGAAGCTTCTGTTTTTACCTAATATCGCAAAAAAATCAAAAATGGGCCTAAAATAGTGCTTTTTTTCGCCTAAAAGTTTATCGGTTTTTCGATATGTATAACAACTGTAGTGGGCTGACCTGCAAACAGGCGTCGGCAACAATCACGAATGCGGCGCACATGAGACAATAAGCAAAGGTTATTATAGACTTAAGACGTACGGGAATGAGTTATCAGCTGTCTAATCGTAGACAACACAATGTCGAATTCAAACTGTAAGCCTGTATTGGTATTGTTTCTTTAATTTGGCTGTCAAACATTAATTTATGGTTTGAAATATTATTTTATGTAAAATAATTGATATGAAACAGCCGTCTCTAAAGTTATGACCCCATCTCACCACATGAAAGTGGCAGAAATGACAATGATCAGCTGACGCATTTTTCTTGGCCGAAGTCAGAGCGCGCGGCCCGACGCACCACCACCGCACCACAAAGTATGAGCAGAAGCCGCGCCCAAAGCCAGGGCCCCGGTAACGTGAGGTAGCCGAGTCGGGGCAGCGTGCGCTGACCCAAGCCGGGGCCGCGGCTTTGGGCGCGGTCTACCGCATCCCCGCGGGCAGCCCCGGGCTATCACATGACACCGGGAGGACGCGCGGCCCCGGCTTGGGTCAGCGCACGCTGCCCCGACTCGGCTACCTCACGTTACCGGGGCCCTGGCTTTGGGCGCGGTCTACCGCACCACCTAACAGGCGTGTTCGAAACCGCAGGAGATGATGATGAACGGGTTTATCGAAACTTGATTGGATGAGCCTATCGGTAATAGCGATTTCAGTGTGTGCATTTACTGTTCATAGTGGTGTGAAATGTGGTTGGGGTACGACCGACAACCCGTCGGGGCGAATTTCGCACTAGGGTACTCAAAATTTGAAGAATTTAAGACGTTTCCATGAGTTTTGAAGGTATGGATAAGTTCTAAAAATCCGGTTCTCCTTATCTGGGCCATTAACTCCATACGGTCCAGGAAAGCTGGCACACTACCTTTAACCAAACGGCGCACTGACCTGTGTGCTCTGGTCGGTCCTGCTCCAGCTCCAGTTGCTCCAAGCCACTAACTGCGACCTGGACCGCTCTCCGTCCGTTCTCCGCCCGCTCCCCGCCCGCTCTCTGTCGGCTCCTTTCCGAGCGGTGCGCCACAGGTGACTGAGGCGGCACAGTCGGTGGGTGGCCGGCGACCCTTCGGCGTGTCGTCGGACGGCCGGGGGTTCATACTGGCGCAAATATCAGCTAAAATACCAGCTTATATGACCAGCGACTGACACAGACGTATCCGACTAGGTAACCACCCTGAACTTTGCCAATTCTGAATTATCACAAACCGGAATTTCGATCGGACCGTGGATGTCAGGGCCTGTGCAACAAGGTCTGTTCAGCGCAGACTCTGACCTCGCGAATCCTTCCAATCAAAACAATGAACCGAAATTTCTTTAAAATATCCGAAATAGCTAAATACAAATAAGCGCGATTTTTTGTCGGCGCCGGACGATCGTTTGTATTTATCACCCGTTGGCGATGGCAGGTCGGGCTGTTATAAAAAGCGCGGCAGCGATGCTGGCTAAAAGTCCCTGCCACCGGCACCCTCTCAAAGGGGCAGGCAGACCGCGAGTGCTGCTAACCTCGAGTCATGGCAGCGGGACCATCGGAGTAAGTGGAAGAAAAATTGGCCTATGTTACCTCTATTTTTTTGGTGAAACAAATTGGATTAAATTAAAACAATGAAATGCGAACACATATGAGTTAAGCGTATTTTACAAGAAAAACGAATAAAGAATTAAGTGATAAGGAAGATAAAAGATAAGCTAAATTAAATGTTCGCAAAATCTTTCACCAGACCATATGAACGAAAGGGTCCATCAAACAGGGACATATTTCAAGGCCA